CCCCCCCCCCCCTGCAGCACAGCACCACACAGAGAACAGTAGATGTCTCTGATAGAAAGGAGAAAATCCCTACACAATTTCCACATTGTTTGCTTTCTTTCATAAAGTTCCTGGAGAAGTCAGATGTCAGTGGCATGTCCTTTATGCTCATTGGGAACGGTAAATTAGCGGGCCACAGGAAAGCCATAGAGGTATTCTATTGTGGCGTTCCTCCTCAGTGTTCTGCCGTCAGCGAGCAGTGGTCAGTGTGGATTTATGACCATCAGCTACACGTTTCCCTCTCAGAGCCCAGAGAAAAGTGAAGCCATGAGGGGGGGGGGGGGCTGAGACTGAGAGGCACGGCACACGAGGTAGGCACCCCGACTTCTATTGTTGGGGCCTCACGGCTTTGAGCAGCGACTCAAACGGTACCAGCTTTTCATCAAAAGCCCTCCTTTCTATTGCTGATTTAGAGGAAAAAGAAAAGCTTTATGTGTTATTTATTATGTGGTGGGAGGAGGTGAGAAAAAACAGGCTGACAGCAGAGCTTTCACAATGTGCTGATGGGGGCAGGAGCATCTGAAGGCCTCACTGTGGAAATAGGCTTTGATTTCTCTGTCTGACCAGATCTCTTTGTCTCGGGGTGGATGTCCACCCTTGTTCAGGACAATCAGGGCCCTCAGAAAGTGGGTAGGAGTGTAGTGTTGGGCAGGGAGGAGGCTGTGAACGACACATATGTGGCCAAGCTCATTTCTCACCTCTGACAGGGGAGATTGGAGGCAGGACCGGCCAGCGATGAGACTCCATCCGAGACATTGGAGGAGAAGGGGTCAGCTTTGCCAGTGACCCTGAGTGGGGAGTGGTCCTCTGTGGACTTGGGCAGGAGGACCAAGTGGTGGAGGGAAAAGCCAGAGTGGCACCTTGATTGGAGTCCAAGGATGTGTTGAGATCGGCAGGAGCTACAAATGCTTCTAAGTGGATATTTTGTGGTATTTTTGTGCTTCTCTTGCTACTCTGAGGTTTCTCTGAATTACAGTGGATGGCTGGTATTGGGCGAGGTGAGAAGGGTTTGGTTTGGCCGAAGAGTGGCTCGTAGAACACAGGGGTGGCGGTGCTGTCGGCGGTGGTGTTTTTCTTGAAGGATTGATGAAGGTCTGATTCCTCTGGAGGGGAAGAAGCTAGGGGTAACTGCATCAGAGGGGAAGGATGGGATGGGGATAAAGAAACATAGCCTTCTGGATCTGCTGAGACCATCAAATCTGCTGCTGAAAGACAGAAGAAAAAATAATTTGATCAGAAGTTTGAGTCTAAACTGCTGCTTGCAGTTTCCAGAATGACATCACTTTCTCTCCTGTTAATTCTGACACATTTCACTAATCAAAAAAGGGAAAAAAAAGCCATATTTTTGGGACAGAAATGAACCCTTGCAGATATCCTTCTTCATCAGCTGAAACTCATCAGAAACACCAGATGGAAATTTAATCTTTAACATCAAAAGTTTTTAAAAGTTAATTTTCTGGTTTTTTGTGTTTTTGCTTTTTTAACCTTTTCTAAGATCTGGTTTACTTACATGTAGACTGTTTTATTCACACTATGTTTCTGAATTCATGTATAAGGTATGATGATATTAATCCATCAAGGGAAACTGGAGTTCAATATATTGCCCAAGAACACCTTTGCAACCTGAGCTACAACTCCCTCAATGTTTAAATCTCTTCTTGAGAAATAAAATTTCTCACATTTTGGAGTATTGGCAGGTTTATTTCTACTATACTGTACCATTTATATTAGTTTGTAGTAAATATATTTGGGGTTTGGGTGTTTGAAAACATCATTTAAATCAGCCTGAAGTACTTGATTAGTAAATATAAGTTATAATTCATACAAGTCTTAAAGGTGCCATGAAAAAGGCTAACTGAGATTTTTACCAGATGTTTTGTCACAGAGGATGCTGCTCCTGCCACTGCTGAGGTCGGCGCTCCGACTGAATAAACTGGAAGGTGGACGGCTTAAATCTGAAAAAGACCCCCGGGAGAGGGAGCTGGGTGGTGGTGAGAGGGTTGATCCAGCAGGTCTGAAGTCGGGCTCCAGCACTGCGGGTAGGGACACCTTTTCCCCCCCAAGCGGTTTCTCCTTCACAGGAGGAAGAGGATGAGGAGATGCTGGAGTGGGGTTTGAGTTGTTCTCCTGTCTTTCAGAGTCAGGGTGAGGTGTGCTGTTGTAGGGTGGTGTTGGATTAAGGCTGGGTGGAGTAGCGGGGAGCTGGGCACAGGGAATGACTATAGCAGAGCGACTTCCTGCAAGCAGACCAACGTTCTGCACGAAGCCCGCTCTTCTGATGGGAATATGATGGAAGTGTCCTTCTATAAAAACACAAATAAATATCAGTAAAGATTCACATCAGCCACAGAGCTGACTTTAAATATGGGTCTGAATCAAGGGAATAAATCCACTCTTCTATTCCTCAAAGGTCAACACATTGTGGTTCATTTTTAAAACTTCCAGAGTCTGCTCGTGACAGTTTTGTTCCCACTTTCCTCAGTCCTGGAGCAGACACTTGTTTCCCTGCTGAGTGGATCGGCCTGCTAACAAAGGCTGCAAGAAATCACCCCACTGGAGCAGCTGCCTGTTTCCCAACTCCATATTCACAACAAGCATCAGACCTGAGGGCAGGGGACCTTTTATCTAAACACTTACAACAGTATACACTGGAGGCGTCCTGCAAGCTGTTTGTGGCAACAAGTGTGTGGAAAACATCATAAGCTCTGTTTGTTTCTGTAAGAACTGAGAGATTCAGACGTCACTCTGCTTTTACAATAACATCAAAGATATATATAAAATGAAAGAGAGAAGGGTCGGTTCAAAAAGTGGCATATGAATCAGATATGAAAGATGAAAAGAAAAGAATAAAACTTAAATGTACAGAAGATTGCTTAAAGATAAACAAAAACACCAACTTTCTGGAACCAATTAAAAGTTTAAATGTTTCTTTTTCAAAGTATGATGAAGAAAGACGCACAGAAAAAAGAAGACAAATGAATCAAACCTGCAACTGCATGTACAGCTGTGTGCAGTATATGTGTACGGTATATCAATAAGAAACACTAAGCAGCGCTTAAAGGTGACAGACTCAAATAAATGACACACAATTTAAATAAGTAAATTAAAAAAACATATCTGTCAGGTGGAATTAGTGAGTACACCCCTACTGCTTTCACAGTTTAAAATCTCAGACCATCCTGTCGTGGTCCTTGGTGTATTCCAATTTACTATTATGTATTTTTCCCATCCATCGCCCTTCTTTTGCTTATTTGGGAACCAGATGCACAAACCACCCCAACTAGCTCCTTTTGATGTGGAAGAGTAGCGGCTTTAGACTGGTTTTTTTCATTTTTTTTCATTTTTTTTATTTTGGTTGTAATCTTTGAATTTTGATGTTTGTGTGATAAGTTTATAGCTTTCAGAGTTTTCTTTACTTTCTTCTCAAGTATGAGTATAGAGTTTAACTTGAAACACAAACCCGGCCATTCCTAATGATAATAGAGAATTACTAACACGTTACAAAATGCCACAAATGAAGAGATCGGCTCACAGCAAAACGGATGGTGAGCAACAGGATGAATCGTCCTGTTGCTGAAGGCATTTCAGCTCGAAATATATTTTGTCTCAGCAGCACATTGGCTCAGACAAAACAGGAACATGTTGTCATGTCAGTTTGGCCAGCCGTAGCTTTAGGTTCAACCAAAGAGACATGAGCCCACTCCTGAAGAGCTTCTGTGACTCTGTGGTGACGTCAGCGATCTTTTACGTTGTGGTCTGCTTGGACAGCAGCATCTCTGCTGGGGACAGAAAGAGACCGAACAGGCTGATCCGGAGGGCCAATATATTGGATTTTTATTTCTTTTTCTGATGCAACATGTGCAATTTTGACATACTATTTTATTTCGTTCTATTTTGTTTTATTCTATTGTATTTCTTAATTTTTGCTGCTTTCAACTTTGTACTGTCCACTTTCTGCTATGACCAACCAAATTTCCCACTTGTGGGACTAATAAAGGGTCATCTTATCTTATCTTATCTTATCTTATCTTATCTTATCTTATCTTATCTTATCTTATCTTATCTTATCACACAGAAACCCCTCTAAAAAACAGCTGGCTTCATTTTCTACATATCTTCAATAATCATACAATACAATCAAACATATATTTACACATATACAAATATCTCAACAACACAAATGCTATAATCAATTGCACATATTTAGAAATACCTTGACTAAACTCCACTAACCTGTCAGCTCTCAAGCAGCTGCTAACAACAAAGAAAAAGCGAGAACCTAAATTCAGACACAGAATTTACAAGACAAATAGTTATAAGCTTTGAAAAGTTCTGATTCTTTTGAACAGAGGTAGGTCCATCTTTAATCCTTCATCTTCCATAACCTGTCAACTAAACTCCATAAAGACACAATAAATGTGTCTGCCTTTTCATTTAGCTTAATAATTAATCTGGTTTACAAAAAAAAGGATTAAAAAGAAGTCTTAACAGTTGACCTTTAACTAAACCAAACTTTTCTTTAATTAAATCAAATCAAATCAAATCAAATCAAATCACTTTTATTGTCACATCACATGTGCAGGTACATTGGTACAGCACATGTGAGTGAAATTCTTGTTCTTCTTGTTCTTGTTCTTGTTCTTCTTAATATCATAATAAAAAAAATAAAGCTCTGGACAGTCAGTAAATTTCAGTGTTACTATCTTAGCTGAACAGCAGCTCTGAACAGAGTAACACTAATATCACAAAACGTCACCCAGTCCATTAAAATGAAAATGATGTGTGAAAATCTGTCACATATATGAGCCGAACTTTGATCTCTGATGTGAGGTTTGATTCCCAATCCCCCGCTAAGCCCGAATATGGATGTTATGTTTGAAATCTTCATTTTTAAGTACAGAGACGTAGTGAATACACAAGACTGGAAGTAAACATAAATTCTCTCTTGTATAAGGGCTAAAGTAGTAAAATGAACTTGTGTAAGTAAAACTGTTAATGGGGAATGAAAACGAACACAGCAAATCACAGAAAACACGAAAAACAAGATTCACTTGTGTTAACCAACAAACAAGATCATTTAAAGACATTCGATATACAAAATAAACTAAATGAGGCGGTTTTGTGAACTTTGTGGCATCGGATAAATTACTATGTTTCACTGTGACACTTAATATCCACAAAATGTGTTTTAATGCCCACATTCAGTCCAAACCTGAACCCACTTCCTTTCTCTTCCTACCACAGCTATTATCCCCTCTCTCCGGCTCTTCTTTCCACATTTCCTTTCATAGCTCCAAGATTCTCTTCCACAAACTTCAAATCCATACAACACCGCCCATTTCCTCTCACTCCTCCTTTTTTTTTGTTGACTGCTGTGAGGGTGTGTGTGTAGTAGTAGTAGTGGTGGTGGTGGTGGCGCTGCAGGGGTGGAGGGTGTCAGACAATCTGCTCTTGTTTCCTGGGGGTCTGTCGCCAAGAGGAGTCAGCACAGGGGGATAAAGAGAACGCGCTGGAAAGCACATTTCTGCACTGCCTCCTCTTACAATGCCCTGCCATTCCCATCTGTTACACACACACACACACGTGCACATGAACTGGTGTGTACGTGCGTGTGTTGATGTGCATATGAATGACATGTGTCAGAGTGCAAAGCCATGGCATTGGGCGCAGCACGTTTCTTCAGAGAGGAGGGTTAAAGACGATTGTGAGGGAGCCGACCACCATATGGCAGAATAATTAGTATTAGACCCCGATCCTAAGAAATGCCCCCCTCCTCTGCTGTACACACACATTCACACACATTCAGCTGAGCATTCTGGGAGTGGTGCCCTGTTGAGGTGTGTGGTGGGAGAAATGCCTTCACATCAGAGGCTGGGCTCTGAAAGGAGCGGTAGGTCTCCCAGCACCAGGCTTTTCACTCCAGGAGACCACCAGAAGGGCGGCGCTGTGGGTACGTCCTCGCTAGAGAGGATAGATTTGGAGTTAAGCAAACACAACTACACACACAGCTAACGACAAGCTTGATGGCTGCTAGCTTTTGCTACTGAGCAGGCCTGTGGAGATAAAGGAGTCAGCAGTGAAAGGTCCAGATGTTTCATTAATAACCCCTCACCCTGAAGCATTTGGCTCTTTGGGGCAGTGGAAGCGTGTGTGTTCTGGACCTTTCCGTGAGAAGGAGGATGCTGCTGTGTGAACTTGGAGCTCCGGTAATAGGGAGGGCAGAAGTCTTTAGGACGAGCCTTCATGTGAGACAGGAAGCGTGGACACAGAGAGGTGCAGAAAGCTGGACGACCGTGGGCCTGCAGGAGGAAACAAAACAAACAAACAAAAAAAAACATTTGAAATGCTCTTATTCTTAAAATAAATGTAAAAACAGAATAAATAAAGTGAAAAATCAACTCTATCTGTAAGTGAATTTTGAAGATTAGGTAAATGGAGAACCAACAAATAAAAAATAAAGCAAAAAGATACAACAACAATGTAAAATAACTGTAATTTTTTAAAGTATATTGAATGATGTAAATACATCCTATTGAATAAAAATAATAAAAGTAATAAAATATAATAAAAAATAAAAATAAACTAAAAAAATGACACATGTAAACAACATAAATACTAAAAAAGAGGGGAAAATGCTTACAACATTAAGCACTCAACACAATAAAAAGCACATTGCAGATCATTAAAAAATGACTAAAACAAAAATGTTATATTATTTGATCAAATTAAAATAAAATAAAATAAAATAAATAAAGGCGGCTATTTAAAAGCACATAGTAACTACATAACAAATTAAAAAACTACTTAAACTTATTTGGAAAATAAAAAAATATACTCATTCAAATAAAATGAACTAATATCTAAACATTGTGTAAAAGCATAAATAACATGATTAAAAAATAATTTTGAGGAAATAATAAATAAAATTAAAAGATTAAAAAAGAAAAGAAAATAGACAAAAAATTGATTACATTTCAAAAATATTAAACATAACTTTAAAAGAAAATACCCATCATATTTAAATATATAACCTCATTGAAAAACATAAATGATTATATTTATTAAAAACATATATTTGTATATTAATAATCTAATAAGGTACCAATTTATAAAAAGGTTGAAAACATATGCACAAAAATTCTGATTTAATAAATAAAATAATATTTTCCTTCAACTTTATTTGGTACAACAACTGTTATTTGTCACTAAACTAGCAGCAAATGTATCAGTATACAAACTTTAAGCTGTTACAAAATAAAAGCCTGAAAGAGAAAACCTGCTGTAGGGTGTGCTGTATATGGAGATGGGGAGATTCAAATGATGCATGGTACCACCACTGCCCCCTTGTGTTGACAAAACAGATCAGCACACAAAGCAACTCCTGCTTCCTCCTCTTTACCCGGCTCCTTCATGACAAGAGGAGGCAGAAAATTATGGCGAGGGTGATAAAGCTCTAGAGTAAACTGTTAGGGAGACACAGGAGATAAAAGCCGGTCAATATTGAAGGAGGGACGGCACGCCAACCACAGAAATCCAAGCCCAGCATACAGCCTTGGTGCCAGTGAGTCATTCAGTCGCTCTCCGGCCCTCAGAGAGCAAACAGTCGTAATAAATGGCCCGTGGACGCAGGGCTTTTATTTGACTTGGATTTCAGCTCCTTCTGCAACAAAGTGCAGCTCCTTACTCTTTTATTATAGAATAAAAATAGTAAATGTACAGATCCAACATCTGTCTGAAAACAATAGCTCACACAGAAAGAGAAAGAGGGTGAAAGGTGGGGGCACTGTCTGTGACTCACACAGGGAGGATCAGCTTTTTAAATCCCTTTCTCTAAGATGCACAGGCTTTAAAGATTTACATTCTTGTGATGTAAAGAAGGCGAAGTGAGGTAGAAATGGCAGGACAAGAGGTGGCGATGGGGGCTGCTCTCCTCCACACTGCTTTTCCACCCTTTTGGCCTCCTTAATACCTGAAACTCAGGCCCTCAAAAGGCTGCGGAGGGCTTTCTTTGTAGGGCTGGTGTCATCAGGCTTGTGGCCTTCTGTGGGACAGGTCGGGGCATGAATATCAATGTAAGTCTACACCACTGCAGTCCACTCAAAAACTATATTAATGCAGCCAAATCTTCAAAAACACTTCTATTTAAATCCTACCTCATCACACCAATGCAGAAAGTCTAAATACTCAGTCCTCTACTTCATTAGTTATCTATGGACTGAATTTATATGATGGACTAAGGTCTTTCTACAACTTCCCGATGTCTTATCCTTATAATGACACCCACTGGTTTGTTGACATTTTCACCAAGGTAAATGTGTTAATGGAGTGCTACGTTATGTGATAATGCTAACTATCATTACTGGTTAGTCACACAGCAGGTAGGTTTCACTGTGGGTCAGCTGAATGAACTTGAATGATGGGATGAGCATCTGTAAAACATGGTGGAGTCTCAGTCATGGTTTGGGGCAGCATTAACCCAGAATCACATCAAGGATCCATCCAACGCATCTGGAAAAAACACATCCTAATGGCAAAAGCTTCATTATTCAGCATGACAGTGAGCCAAAACACACGGTATGCAGTAAAGGCATACCTGGATAGAAGAATTGGAGCAGTATCAGGCATGGATTGGCCTCCCCAGAGCCTCAACCTCAATGTTACTGAAGCAGTGTGGGATCATCTAAAGCATAGGTGTCAAACTCTGGCCCGCGGGCCAAATTTGGCCTGCAGCCTAATTATATTTGGCCCGCGAAGCCATACCAAATTACTATTAGAGCTGGCCTACTGGTATTATACAGCTAATATATATATTGTTTAGTATTAAGCTTTGCTTGTTCCATATTCAGTTTTCCAGCAAAACTTATTTGAGTCCATAAGAAAAGATTCATTCTTATATCTGGAGGAAGATTTTTTTTCAATAAATATTAATGTTAGCCCGCGACTTTGTTCCAGTTTTGAATTTTGGCCCACTGTGCATTTGAGTTTGACACCCCTGATCTAAAGGCACCCAACATCCAGAGCTCTGAGTGTCCTTTAAGAAGCTTGAGAACTATTCCTGAGGACTACCTAAAGAAATTCCAAGAAAACTGCCTAAGTTAGTTCAGGCTGTGTTGAAAAATAAAGGTGGTCATACCAAATATTGACTTTGAAGCTTGTTAGAATAGTTCAACTCTGCACCTGTTTCCCATTTTCCAAAACATAAAGAAATGAATAATGACTCAAGACTTGTGGACAGCATTATATGATTTATGGCATTTAATATTTGGCTTATAGGTTCCCTGTCCCATGTCACAGAGGAAGGCATTTCCAGCAGTGACAGTAGGTAGGACTGTAGTTTTTGCAGATGCCCATAACACTTGTGTGGGCTCCATCAGGGGCCCTACAGGCCCCCAGGAAACAGGCTAACCTCCTGGCGTCAGGCAACCCACACGCTGTCCTCACACAGCCAGAGCTGGCTAATGTCATTACGGGCCTGTTTGCGGTCAACAGCTACATGATTGAGATGTACAAGTAGCGCTTCTAGATGAATGTAGGAAGTCTATTAGTTAGTCAAAGTCCCAGATGGCCTGCAGAGGACAGCCTTGCGTGTGCTCCTTCACCCCCCCCACCCCACCTCTAAACACACACACGCACACACACATATGTACACAGCATACAAGCATACATAAGCAGTTGTGCAGACACACATCCACGCACACACTTAATTATGCTGCCTCTGAGTGAACCCTCTGACAGGCGGACGACTACGAGCAAAGACAGAAGTGTGTCTATGTCCCAGCGTCTGCAGGAACAGAGAATTCTTCACAGAGCTGAAGCACAAGAAAGCCAGGCTTAGGCCCTAACAAGGTTAAACCCCTGAAAAAGAGTGACTTTTTAAATCATGGAGATTTGTGTTTCTGCGGGGTGTAATTAGCTTTGCTGTGGGGGAGGAGGGGAGAGGGTCGGGACTCTGGCAAGGGGGCCGGCGAGAGGCAAAGTGAGGGACGACGACAGTGGGGCACATTGTGGAGTCCGGCGGATTCTGGGGAGTAAATCTGATTATCAGCTCGTGTCAGAAGCCAGACTCAGATGCAGCTTAGCATTCAGAGCAACTTTCTACTTTCGATGGTGAGACAATGACCCTGATTTACGGGCCCACGCAGCCCCAGAGGGTCCGGCAGCTTTTACCCCGAAAACGCACAGATCCCAAAACAACTCAGCACAGCAAGGATGTGACGATACTGCCGCACAGTTTGTGCTCAGAGTCCTTGAAGTTCAGGTATAACTGAACAAAAGTTTTGGAACCATTTTTTACATCAGGGATTTATTAATTAGTTTTTCCTTCCTCTGATGTACAGTCACCAAAATGACTTAACACAGAGTAATTAATGATGAACGGTGATATGAACATTAATAGTAGTAGTATTTCCTCATAACCTTCTTTTATCTGTCTATGTTTACAACCTTTAATATTACAATAATGGACTTTACAGAGTTTGGGGAAAAATTAATTAACAGCATGTGCCTCAAAGTTTAGTAAATGACTCCATTAATACTTCCTTTATGGCCATGTGCTGACACAACTCCGACATTTTGGTGAAATTGTTTGGAAGCAGGTGTTGTTGAACTAATAAAGTTTCAGATGAACTAAATATGGTAAATTCTTTCTAACAATATTGCTCCTAAACTAAAAAACAAACAAACATACCACATTTTTATGTAAAAACCCTGTTATATATGAGTGCTCTGCCTCCATGTTTGGGCACCTGTGCAGCCCGACCTGCATCTCGTTTCCTGGGTGAGAGTAGAGGAGCATCAATGTCTGGGTCAACAGCCTCTCTGTCTCTCTGCTTAGCTACCCTTGTTGTAAAAGTTGTCCCCCTGTATGACAGCGGGCAGTTGTTACCATCACAATGCCCTCATGATTTATTAGATATAACCAGAGCGGGTGCAGGAGATTGGAGAATGGCAGTGGGTGATGCCAGGCCTGATGAACTCTGTGAATGCAGAAGCGGTGAAAGCGGTTGAGGATGTAAATGAGGCTGTAAGGACCAGCGGGCCCCTTTGTCCGACGACTTTACTTGTTTGTTTAACCAGAGGCCGAGACAGGAAGCCAGCCCACACAACTGTGCTGTCCCCATGGCAACTCCACTGTTAATTGCGGCACATCCACTCCCGGACGCTTTTCAGCAGAGGGGAGAGGTGGGGAATCGTGAGTGTTGAAGAGAAAGAAGATGAAGAAGAAGAAGAATATGTGTGTGTGTGTGTGTGTTTTATGTTGCTTGTTAGAGGAAAAGCAAGGGTTCAAATTATAAAAAGCTTTCAGGAATTTGAAAAAAATTTAAATTGCCCTGTTCTCTGAGTGAAAACAGAGCTAAAACGTTAACATTTATTTGCTGATTTCATCCTTAAATAGATGATCCTCCATGCTCCATGTCGAATACCCCTTATGTCAGAGGCATACTCATTAACGGCCTTTGGTATCTGGACCAAAGTATAGATTCTGGATCCTGTACATTAACTTGCAATATATTTTTGTCGCTGAACAACACTTTTCATCTGATCTGTCTCAGATGTCACGATTCGTGTCTTTGTACAAACATTGAATACTGTACCATGACTTGGTTTGAGTGAGCCATCACTTTGGTGCTGACAGTTGGTTGCAAGCAGACATTGCTGACTCTGGTTGCCAAGAACCCTTCTAAATCTATTCACTACCTTTGCTTTGAAGTTAAGAAATCTTGAGTCCTAGCATCTATTTCATTGGAAGTTCCTGAATGTCACTGATTTTCTGAGGACTCTGGCTGCCACCTCACCACCATCTGGACGCCCCATTAGGCAGAGAAAAGCCATGGTGCATCACGATGGTGCATCCCTGCGTTGCCGGATCAAAATATGTGATGCAGACATGAAATATACTTCCTGTTATGCTATGACACATTAGATTCTGCTGTGAGCCATGGCAAAACCTACCCTTTTAACATTTTCTACGACTCCAACGACTTATCTTATATCTTTTAGCGCACCTGTAGTTAATTTGTTCTGGTCCGAATCAGTTGATGAGTTTGTAAACTTGCAGCTTTTCACCATGATTTGGATTCTTTTCACACAGAGAAAAATCCAAGTGAACCAAAATGTATCAGCACAAACCACGTCACAATGTTTAATCCGCTCAGATGTGTAATAACAGAGGATAAAAAACAGAAAGAAGATGCTGTGTTCTGAACTGTTGGAGAATGAAGACTTTATGTTCGTTTCATGGCTAGTTGCTAGCCTGTACAGACTTTTGTGCATCCATTGTTCCATACAAAGCATACAGGAAGTTTCTTAGCTCAAACTTGTAATGTACACCTGGTACTATGATCATATTAGCGTCAGATCATGTTGAAAACAAGTGCGATTACTGTGTTCACATCTGCATAAACGAACTGCTCCAAGGAGGGGAAATGAAGTTTGATTTAAATGGATTAAACAATTCAGGGGTTGAAACACCCTTAATCTAGTCTCACAAGAGCGCACTTATAAACAGGAGGTATTCATGATTTTATGGCAAGTTTGGAAAGCTAGAAGGATCACTTGTACAATCTCACAAAAACAACAGGTAAGAATACCAAAATCTGTTCAGGTTCTTTGTGGCTACGAAGTGTAAAATTGGGCACTCACAGTGTAGTGGCAGACTCCTCGGTCCCACAGGATAGCCTTGCTGACAAAAGAGACATAAATGGGTCTCTGCAAGAAAAAGAAAATAAGTCACATTTAACAGTATTGATTGCAGAAAGACAGCTTATTTAAGTACAGATCTATCAGATTGAGATTGATCAGTTGAAAGAGTTGAAATGCTTTTAACTCCACAGGCCTTGGGACTGAGAACAATGAATGAAGCATTTGAAAACACATAATGCCACACAGGGAGTGGGCTCTCTGGAGATATTTAAACCCCCTCTGTCTTGATTATTGAGCTGCTGTGAAACACCTCCAGGAGAAGCTGAGGACTCTGTGATGAAGTCTTCTCTCCCACACAACCAGCTTTCCAACATCTGCTCAGTGTACAGAACGTCTGCTCCTCATTTCTTCGAACATAAAGCTTCCTTGGGACAGTACGGTGGTCCTGTGGTCCCGATGTGTCGGTTTGACCCATGGAGCAAGAGGCACTGTGTTAACTCATCAATCACCCGGAGACACAACACCAGCCAATTCCCAGCAGCTCATCCATCTCTCTTTGCAGCTCCTGGCAGCTCCCAGAAGCACTGAGTCAGCTCCAGAGTTGATCCACTGCAGGGAACAGGAGAGCGGACCCTCCCAGGATTCACCCTTCATTCATGGGCTGTAACCCCAGACCAGAGTAGGTGACATGGGGCAAGAGTGGCACACAGAGGAGGAAGACAATGGAGGTTGATGCGTGCTTCCATTTCCTCTGCTGTGGAGCTCTCAAACAGCTTCAGTGCCACCATGAGAGGCTAGAGGGCAGCGTCAGGTCTGGCCCATTTTACCTCCTTTGTCTACCTACCTGTTGTATGCAACAAAGCACATTATGTATGATTACACACATTATGCCAGAAATACCTCACGAGCTCTTCGTCCTTAATAGACGCCTTAATTGCTGCCAAATAATGAACGGACGGGGAAAAACAACCGTTTTTTTCAGTAAATCACGGCACTTGTGGCCCAGTGACCTCATTGTCGCTAATTACATTGAATGTGAAATCAAGTACATCATTTTCAGACAGCAGAGGATGGAGTGGCTGGGGGCTGGGGTGGCCTGTGATTAAAATGTAGAGAAATCAAATGAGCCGAAAGAGAAAACTGGGCAAAACAAAAAAGAGGCTGCAGTCACATAGCAGAAAAAAACATCGTGTTCAGTTTTTATTATTCAATAAATGCAATTAGAAAAAGATTTTAATTTCGGAATTGTTCGTTTTTATAAAAATATGCGTCTCATTATGGATTTAACATTTTTTGGCAACGCTAACTCTGGATATGAACAGTGCTTGGAGGGTTTGTGAAATAAGCCTAACTACAAAGCTGTGGTTAGAATAATGAACACATGAGAATAGGGAAAATGCAGTAAGAGGGTTAATTTGTTGATAGTCCCCAGCAGGAAGAGACAAATGATATCAGATGACACCTCTGAGATGAAGCCATCCACAACATGGGGTTAGTCATTAATATGCTGCTGTGTGGTTTGGATTAACCACTGTGAAAAAGTCCTGATCCTAAGCTTGGCCTGAGAGTGTCATTTAAAGGTGGAATAATTTGCAGACACAAATGATTATACGGAAGTAAAACTTGACACAGAGAGTAACACTCACCAAAACTAAACAGGAAGAGAGACACGACTGAACAGGAACAAGAAAGACATAAAGACCTGCACAAAGATGAGGCTGAAGGAACAGAATGGGAATGCTAAAGGGAACCAATAAACCTAGAGTCACCTTTAACTAAACTAAGATCTAGAGAAAATAAGGAAACATTACAAAGCACCAGAAAATAACAAAACTCGCGAGCACAAGGAAATGCAAAATAACCCTATAACAGAAACTATGAAATGATAGAGAACATGAACTTCAGCAGTTCTCAAAATCCAAAAGGAAACAATGAACTAACAGAGAACACAAAATGAAAGGTGATTCTTCTCTGAAGCCCATGTCCCTTGAAAGGCTCATTAAATCCTGCTATCCTGGTATATAAATGAGCTGTTAGTTAAATATGCATTTGTCACATAAAGAAAACTTAATGTAAATTATAAATGTCAAAATAATGATCATATTAAAGTTGACTATTAGGCTTTTCCTCATGATCATATACTGTTTCAGTGTTCAGTCCAAATATTGGAAAACCAATCCTAGCAAGAGAGGAGCGGAGGCGCTGCACCAAACCCTCAGCAAGATAAAGAAGCTTCTTTTTTTAACTGTGAGTCATGTAAAGCTGCTCTAGCCAACAATAAAAATATGGATATCTCATTTAAGTATAACCCCTCACTCTGATATCATAATTAATGTTTTCTGCTGCCAGGTAAAAAAAAATCAAGCCTGGCCAAGAAAGGCAAATGTCATCAGATTACTGTTGCAAGTCCTGTTTTCCTGAAAGGTTTAAAAATTTCTGGAAATCACTTCCCAAACTCATCGATGAAAACATTTCGTCTTCATGTTATTCATTTCAAACAAAGAAGCAAACTCGTGACAAAAGAAAAAAAAAGAAAGCCAGTGGTCTATTGGCTCAAACAGAATTTCATTACTCTGGGTCCTCGCTCTGCCTTTGATGTCACCGTTTGACCCATCATCACATAATCCCAACAGAGGGTTTGTCTAAAGTGATTGCTGCTCCTCTTTTCCTTGTTCAGTTCAGATGATGAGATTAGGGAGATTCCTGGCAGATGGGATTTCCACTGTGCGTGTGTCGACGCTCCACCTCACGGCACTTCCTGTCAGAACTGCTGAGCGTAGGGTGGCGTGGGCTGGTAAGTGGACAGGAAGTGTTGTGCTGTCGGTCTGAGCCAGCAGGGGGAAATATGGTCAAATATGGTTTGTCTTATCAATAATGAGTAGGTGGAAGCGGTTAGATCAAATTACCAATTTAGAACTAATCACCAAAGTGGTGGCTGGTATTTGCTTTATCCCCTCTCCCACTCTGCTTTGTCCTCTCTCTGGTGGTTCCTGTCGCCATCTGTCTGTCTTTCTCAGGGGAGCTCTTCCTTTTCTCCCCAGCACCACACTGGATGTTTTATTAACTCTGTTTTACCTGATTACACCCCGTCTGCGAGTCATTGTGCATTAATAGGCATTTAATCAGCGTTTAATTAAGGGAGCAGGAATCGAACAGTGAGCTGGGCGCTCGTGAGGTCAGCACCAAGGACACAAATTACCCAGAACAATGCAGGTAGCTTACGGAAGTAAACAAGCTGCCATTAGGGTGGTGGTACATGTGCAAACCTTAGAATAAAAATCAGACTAAAGGTTTCTGGCACAATTTCTAGTAATATATTGGAAGTGTTGAAGGGTATTCTTCATGACAATCGTTTTTTTTTTTTTTACAAATGCAGAAATACTTTATGGTGTCAAGCTTTCAGTTTGGTATCAGTCTTTTCTTTTTCACACAGATTGCTAAAGCATGACTGGTCAATAACTTGAAGGCTACAAGTGGATGTCCAGATGAACAGAATCCACCTTTTGGCAGAAAGCTTCTAGTACAAAAAGTCTTGTCATATACAGATTCTGTATATTCATATTGAGTAATAGGAAAAAGAAAGTAGGTTTTAGGGATCAGGGCATGATAAAAAAAAAAATCTGGTCCTCAGCAGGCCTTATAATTAATTAAATACACCCTTGAATGAGTATAAATCTAAGTATACCCTAACTGCTTCCACTGGAATAATCTGATCTGAATAACTGATCATCAGCAAGTGTGAGCACCTCACATTTTGGCAGTTTTCCGGTGTGCGTTAACACAATATCAAGGAGACATCAGCAATGCTCTTAGGGAACTGTTGCTGCCCATTATGAATAATTGGGAAAGGTTATAAAGTCATTTAAAAACAATCTGAAGTCCATCATTCTTCAATGAAAAAGATTATTCACAAGTGGAAAACATGACAGTTTCCAATCTATTCAGGAAATTCACCCCAGGCTTAGAGCCTGAGTAACGCTGAGCACTGAGACAAAAGAGCTGCACAGTCCCTAAACTTAAAAAGCACACTCGAGGAACTCGACAAAGCAACACAACGGACGAGGCGATCCAGTCTAGAAGACAATCAAGTTAACGGCTGAGCTATCAATGCAAACAAAAGGCGAGAGTGACCACCTCAGCATGGCTTTGGCCAGGTTAGAGCCAGAGATAGAAAAGACGAGCAGCACACTGAAAGAGAAAGAGTCCGGGGTCAGCTATAATGAGCTGTGAATGTGAGCATCTGACCAATCCTGTTTAATGGACTTCATCCCTGGAAAGGTTTCTGTCCTGCCCTGCACCGGTGTTTTCGTGTGTTCACTTAGGGTCTGGGTCAGGAGGCTGAGAGGACTCTGTGACCCTGAAATGAGCTCTCGAAGTCAGCGGAGACCCCTGCTGATAGGACAGACCTCCTTTTATACTTTAATCTGCCAGCACGAGGGATCAATATGGTGACTATTGGTGTCAGGATTGTGTGCAGGAGTAAGTGGTCGAGCCATTTTAGACGTATCACGGGGGGTTGGCGCACCATGACAAAAGCACAGCCCGCTGCCACCACTGGCCACAATGACCGGTGGGACACTGGCACACCAGCAGCTAACCTACTTAACATTCATTAGTGTCAGAGAGGTGGACAGATGTGCCGGGTGTTACGGATCTTCCCTCTCATGTTCTCGCCATGGGGCATTTGACGTGTCTTTCATTTGGGATTTCAGAGTTGTGGGCGGTGGCGGCAATAGGCCACTACTGCTGGGTGGGCATGCATGGACTCACCCCATTGGAGCCATCAGCCGGCCAGGTGCTCGTGCAGACAGGATGCCTGGGCAGAACCAGTGGCCTCAGTGGATGCTTGAAATCCCGATTTCTGGAAGGTCTAATTTCCCAGCGAGCCTCCGAAACTTCTCTTCTCTCCACAGCAGACATGTCCAGGGAACTCTAGGCTTTCAGTCTACTCATTTTCTCTTTAAAAGGAGCCTGAAAACGTCTCCACTCGCCCAGAAGGTGTTTTATGCATTTACACTTTGCAGTCAGAGCCTCTCTCTGTGGGAGGCTGAAAAAATGCAGCCTATTCAAATAGCTTATGGCTGTTAATAATTACCATCCAGCTAAACTAGTGCAACTCTCTCAGGCATGCTTCCTTGGTGAACACAATAACAGAGACACTGGGCACAAAGAGGCTATCTCCCTTCTCAGCTCACTACAAATTTTCAGGCAAATAATGTGACACAAAAACAGGCCTACAATAAACCAAAGCTTTCAATTAGGAAGTGAACAGCACTATAGCTGCACACACTGACAGAGGCCAGAGCAGAAACCAGGACCAGCTGGACTGAGAGGCAGCTTTTCAGTCCGACTCCAGACACAACACGGATCAGGTTCTGGGCTGCTACAAAGCAGCATAAATCTCCTGGCCTTAATTGCATTACAGGGCATATAGTGGAAAGCACTGTGGAAACAATGGACCCTATCAATTCCACAAATAAGAGTTCACCAGTGTGTGTGTGTGTGTGTGTGTGTGTGTGTGTGTGTGTGTGTGTGTGTGTGTGTGTGTGTTTGTAAGCCCGGAACAGCCTTCTATCTGTATTTGCAATCAAAGCTCATTATGTAGAGTGCGTCTTGTGCTTCGGGCTTTTCATCTTCAGGTTTGTTGTGCAGGAAAATCCTAGTAAACAATTTCTTGGTGTAATATTAACAAGGGGAGGTGGCCAAGGGAGAAGTAGTGAGTGTTTTCCATGGCGACCGGACCAAACATTTACAATAGTGACACCATCAGCCACCTCTGCACAACCAGTTTCTGCTGAAATAAAATAAATAAGTACGTAAAAAGAACAGCTTTTGCACCTGTTTTAGTTCCTCATTTTGTGACATTTGTTCTTTCATTCAGGGACTAAAATGAGTGCTTTATTTAAATGCTTTTAGAATAAGGATTTTGCTGTAACATAGTCTGAGCACAACTTGTAACATGAGCTAAAGCTTCTTGAAACCGTCTGAGATCAAGACCTCTCCTTTACATTTCCCTTCATAAAGCAGCGCCTCCCTGAGATCCCTCTCTGTTCAGCCCTGTGGGGAACCTGCAGTGCACTTTGGGTAATCCACATCCCACAATACCAGCTGCTAAGACACTGTAATAAAATTACTCGTGTCAGAGGAAGCTGTAAGTATTTTTGTGGAATGTGTGGCTTTTCTACTAAAAGAAACTGCACATAAAACTGGTATTCTCGTGATCTGCTGTTTCATCTCTTTTCTCTCCTACAGACTTTATACAAGATGTTTTTATGTATAATTCAATGGTGAATATGATAATCAGTTATGTAAAACTACTTGTCCACTACTGAAAATGTAAATATTCTTCCATTCATCATTTTGGCCCACTTGAAAATTCTTTGCAGTATTGTTTGAATTCAGCCACATTAGATGGTTTTCAAACATGAACGGCCTGTTTGAGGTCATGCCAAAAGATCTTGATCTGACTTAAGTCCATTCCTTGACTAGGCCACTCCAAAACCTTTGGGTTTGCTGGTGTTTTTCAGATCGTTGTTCTGGTAGATAACCAAAGCTTAATGCATGAACTCATGGTCGGCTGTTCACCTTAAGAATTTTTCTTGTTGAGAGCAGAATTCATGGTTTCATCAATTACAGCAAGTCGTCCTAAAGCAGCAAAGCAAAAAGTTCAGCTTTTGTCTCATCAGTCCATAGACTATGTTTTTGGCAAAACTGGGACAAGCCTTTATGTTCCTTTTGCTTAGCAGTGGTTTTCGTCATGGATCGCATTTTGCAGAGTGTCTTTCTTATTGTCGAATCATGAACTCTGACCTTAGTTGAGGCAAGTGAGGCCTGAAGTTCTTTAGATGTTGTTCTGGGTTCTTTTGTGACCTCCTAGATGAGTTGTTGATGAGCTCTTGGAGTAATTTTGGTAGGCACTCCTACGAAAGTTTGCCACTGTTCCAATTTTTCTCCATTTGTGGATAAAGGCTCTCAGCGTGGTTCACTGGTGGCCCAAAGCCTGAGAAATGTCTTTATAAGCCTTTCAAGACTGATAGATGTCAATGACTTTGTTTTCCAGCTTTTGCTTGATCTGCCAATGATTTTCAGGATTCAGTAAGTGGCTTGTCTCTCTGGTGGCAACCATACAGTAGAAGGAAGCCTACTGACTTAATAAATAAAGCATCTGACTGTCAAAAATGTATTCGTTTTCTGGTATCTGACAATTAGGTGAAATATCTCACATTTTATCCAAATACTACTCTACTTCCCAGAGCTACATGGAGCTACTGTAGCTAATTATAAATGCCTGCCATGTGGTGTTTGTTAAGTATATCATACTGTAGGATTTTAGAGCTTTTGATTTGCTGAAACCAGCTGGTCCCGGTCCAAAATATATGCTCTGACAATGAAGCAAAACACTAAGCTGAAAAGAATAGTCATGTTTTCCACTAATAACATAAAAGTATTTTTTCTTTCTAGTATGCTAAATAAAACTTAAAAGAAACATGGGACTCTTAGGCTTTTAGAAGTACACACTTGACTTAACTTGGATTTTGCAGGACTGCAAAGGCATACACACACTCACACAAATAAACACATACATCAGCACACAAAGGCTGACAAAGACTCTCACAAAACACATAAAAATACCATTACAAGGGGCTTTCATGCTGTTCTAAGGAAAGCAGCCCTGCCCACTGCGTGCTGCCCTTTGTCGGCTGTGGGACCCAGAATCAAAGAGCGGTGACCTGCACAGGCTGTGGCCCGCAGGCCTGCAGGGAGTCCTGCACTGACTCCAAACCCTGGTTGCCACACCATGCTGAGATCCTCCTCTCCTCTCCCTCCCCCCTGGTTGGCTCCGTTATTTCCTCATCTCATCAATCTGTCAGCTAAGCCCTTTGACACCACAAAACAATATGGTCCCAGTATTTTTTAGTGTGTGCCCTCTCTTTCAATATGGTCCCAGTATTTCAAGATTAGTCAGCTCACCCACGAGGTCTGCTCCCCACTGCCTCGGGATCCAGGGTGAGTCAGCATGACGGCCTGAAAAGCAGTTTGAATTTTCCAATTTTTCCTGCAAAACCAACACATTTGCAAGTTCCAAACAGATCATGGGCTCTGTCCTAACATGGAATGCATACATTTTATAGCCTTGTTTAAGCTGGCTCATGTTTGCGTTCTGAACACGGGTGTGTTTGAGGCTTTGTGCAGATATGGCACCCCTGCAAACTGATTTATGCAAATATAATTCGATTCACATAAGAAAAACTGCATTTGCAGAAAGATAAACTAAAACATAACGAGACATGTAGTGATCAAGCAGCTGGCAACAGTGGGGAGGAAGAAACCTCCAGCAGCACCAGGGAGGGTGGGCATCTGCCTCAACCAGGCGAGGTTAAACCAAAAACAGTAATAAGAGTAACCAGAAATCAGGACAGGGGAGAGGACAGACAGGAAGAAGCACAGAACCACAGAAAAAAGGTTCACATTTTTTGCACGTAAAAGATTTTAGTTGCACTTTCTTAAAAAACGTAAACAACAGCTTAAGTTTTAAACGTTCATCGTACGGGTGGGTTTAGGGATTTGACTGCTAGAAAGTTCAACTGAGTTGGTCCCAGAAATGCTAATTAGTTAAACAAATTATTAACATCTTATTAATGTACAACAGCAGTTAAATGTTCCCTCTCATAGCACCAGCATTTCCAGCTCGAGTATGTTTCCCCAGATTTCAGTAAGATTCTAGTTTTAAGCTCCCTTTTCTGACTTTGTGTTTTTGCTTTTGGGATATCTGCCTTCAGCCAAATAAACAGCCTGTTTTCCATTACCTCTACCTGCCTTTGCATCCTAGATGTGGGTCCCCAGGCTCAGCTCATAACAATCAGAGCCTATAACTACAACAACAGTACAGCACAACAAATTATATTTGAAAATTATGAAAAAAAATAAGAAAAAGACAAGAGACAAGACAAAGTAAATTACATCAAGAGACAGTTAAGTAGATAAGACTAAGAAGTAATAAGCGAGACTTCCTTTCTGGCTACTCCCTTTAGGGGTCGCCACAGCAAATCAACTTCTTCCATCTCACTCTATTCCTGGCATCCTACTCTGTCACACCAACCCTCTGCATCTCCTTCATCACTACATCCATTAACCTCCCCTGTGGTCTTCCGCTTTTCCTCCTGCCTGGCAGCTCGATTTTCATCCACCATCCCTGCTCTTTCACACATCCAAACCATCTCATCTTTCCTTTTCTAACTTTATCTTCAAATCAATAAGCCAAAACAATCAAAAAGAATAAAACTAAACATTAGTTTGCTCAGGAGGTAGCCTCTGATGCATCCATCAGGGTATGAATGTGTGCGAATGCGAGTTAGTAAGCACTTAAAAGCATTGAAGTATACAAGAATCAGTTAATTTACCAAATGAAAAATATGGTAAGTAATGGGCTCCAGTTCCAGGGAGCTCCTAAAATACATTCAGTGAAGAGAGGTTTCACATTTACATTTAAAACTTCTTGATCAGGGGAAGCTCAAACAAACTTCCCTGATCTCTGCTTTCTACAAACTTTATTTCTAAAAGTCTAAAGCATGAATCTGATGAGGAAAATATACAGTGGAAGACTTATTGGTCACCTGTGCATGTGGCTAACACTTTTATGAAATAAGAGAACCCAGTTTTGAGATCACGCCTGCTGGACTATACTCACTCGAGAACGGACCATTCAGTTTATTTTCAAGTAAGGATGAAAGGACGACTCCAAACTATGCATGTCGCCTATTCACTGGTGATGCTTTTTAAAGGAAAAAGGAAAAAAAGACAGCAGAAAGAGTTGGAAAAGGGTGGAGGGGTGGAGCGCTGCATACATTTTACATACACAAGGCAGCAGACAAAGTGATTGTTGCTTCCCTGAAACTTTTTTTTCGCCCCTTCAGAAAACA